AATTGATTGATTGAACTTTGTAGTCCCACCCAGTCTGCCGTTACCACCACAGCCACGCCCACCCAATGGGCCACACCCACCCGGCACTCGACGATGCATAAGTGGGTTTTGGGTTGCAGTTTGGGCACTCGGTCTCTAAAAGGTTCGCCATCAGTGTCCTAGACTTACAACTACAACTGAGCCCAAAATTTCCATTGCTAAGCAAGACAGGGTTGCATGAGAAAAGTACATCTCCCTTCCCCTCTCCTTACCACTTTTTACAGAGGGCATCCTGTCACATGGCATTACTGTCTGGTTTGGAAGCATTACTGCTTCGGACAGGAAGGCGGTGCAGAGTGGTGAGGATGGCAGAAAAGATTATTGGTAGTTCACTTCCTTCTATCCAGGACGTGGCATATAAGGGATGCTTGAGCAGGGTCCGCAGGATTGTCTGGGACTCTACACATCCTCTTCACAACCTGTTTTCCTTGTTACCTTCTGGGAGGAGGCATCACAGTATCCAAAACAGAACATCCAATTCAGTCACAGTTTTGTTCCATATAGCATCAACCATGTGAACTCTCAAGTTTCCTTTTTCAGCTATGTATTCAATATTTGATTAATATTTATATGTATATAGGGGACTGGAGGCTAAAACATATAAAGAACGGTTGCTGGAATTGGATATGTCTAGTTTAATGAAGAGAAGGACAAGGGGGGACATGATAGCAGTGTTCCGATATCTCAGGGGTTGCCACAAACAAGAGGGAGTCAAGCTATTTTCCAAGGCACCTGAAGGCAGGACAAGAAGCAACGGATGGAAACTAATCAAGGAGAGAAGCAACCTAGAACTAAGGAGAAATTTCCTGATAGTTAGAACAATTAATCAGTGGAACAACCTGCCTCCAGAAGTGGTGAATGCTCCAACACTGGAAGTTTTTAAGAAGAGACTGGACAGCCATTTGTCCGAAATCCTGCCTGAGCAGGGGGTTGGACTAGATGACCTTCAAGGTACCTTCCAACTTTATTATTACTGTTGTTGTTATATTTATATAGCACGTGCATATGTGTGTTATGTATGTGTATGGGTAGAGATATACTTTCTTTTGAGAGCAGGCAACAGAATTTCATTTTTAATGTAGGCCAGTTTACTCACAGTAAAAATGACAATAAAGGTTATCTTATCTTATATACCAGTGGTGGCGAACCTATGGCACACGTGCCAGAGGCGGCACTCAGAGCCCTCTCTGTGGGCACGCATGCCATTGCCCCAGCCCCACCTCCCCCATGGCCCCTCCTCACCATCAGCCCCCCCCCATGGAGAATCACCTGAGCAGCGCAGCCAAGAACATGGCAGCCAGACAGCGGGGACACTGCACTCGCGCCCCGTCGCGCAGATGATGCTGCGGGGCGTGGCTGCCATGGTGCTGCTGCCCTGTTTGGGCGATCTGCGGCGGGCCGTGGAGGCAGTGGATAGCCCTGTGGGCGGGTGGGGTGGGGATAGACGGGGACAGGCTGCGGGCAGGGGCGAAGTGGGGGTGGGCGTGGGGCAGGGCTGGTTTTGGGGCACTCGATCTCTAAAAGGTTCGCCATCATTGTTATATACTGAAGCTGCAGCACCAAAGTAGGCATGGAGAGACTAACTGTCTCTTCTGGAAAGGGTGGCTAGCAAGAATTAACTTAGGCGTATCAAAACGTCTAAGAGCCAGCTGGGGCAGATTCTTTACATCCTAGCTCCAACCAAAAACCAAGCAAAAATGTTGCTTAATTTGCCCGCAGTTTTTCTCATGTTATTTTAAATTATTTCAGTAGACGAAAAATGTGGCTTTTCTTGTTGTAAACGCCTGCCACTTTCCTAGCATTATGGCACAACATTCCAGGAATAAACATCCCATTTAGATCATGTACTACAGAATTCTCTTTATCATAACAACTATCAGTTTTCAAAAATCTGCTAGCGGTAAACCACTAGCCTGTGATTTTTTTTCCCCCCTCCCAATCTGTATTTAAATAGCTGCAAATAGCTGGCCGTGGCTGGTTTTCATAAATCAAAGAGCCAATTTGTTGTAATGATTAAAGCATCAGGATAAAAACTGTGGGACTGTTGAGTAGGCATGAAGCCAGCTGGGGACTTATCCGTCCTTCTCTCTCAACCCCAGGTGGAGGCAACTTCTGAAACCTTGCCAAGATCACTGCGGGGACGAGTTCAGGCGGTTGCCAGGACTCAGTAATGACTCAAAGGCACCAAAACAACAACAAAGAAAATTAGACCATAGTAATACTTGGATGGGTTGTAAGTTAGGCTGATAAATAAAAATAACTTCCCAGGAAAAAGCAATAGTAAACATCTCCTTCGAGATCATCAAGGAAATACAGGGGTGAGTTCTTGAAATCTTGCAGTGTAGCCCTTGCTATTTGGAATCTTATTTTGAAGCTTTCTAGTAAATCATCTATTTTCTTGATCCTTATCCCTAACTGAACCAAACCACCTAAATGTGTTAATTATTATTTTTTATCCTTAGACAGAAAGGAGTAGTTTGCTGTCAGCTTATATTCTGGTGTCTTGCCCTATCAGTGTTGGTGGTCTAAGATGGTCACATTTTCCCAATTGAAATTCTGGATAAATCTGTCTATATGTTGTGGAATTAAAAAAATCTCATGTCTTCTGACTGCTAGTTGACGTTCGTGGATGTGTTCTGCCAGTCTTCTGCCTATTTGTCCTACATAGTGGTTGTTGCAGTCCTTACATTGTATGTTGTAGATGACTCCTGTTTTTTTTCTTCTGGGGTAATTGAGTCTTTTGGTCTGCATAGGATATTTTGAAGGATATTTAGTTGGCTTGTGTGCTATGTTGATTTTATGTGGTGGTAGGAGTCTGTTGGTGATATCTGAGATATTCTTGATATATGGCAGTGTAGTTCTTTTTAGGCTTTGTGTTGGTTGTGCTGTATTGGATTGAGTGGTCAGGGACTTTTTGATAAAATTGCATGGGTATCCACTTTGTTTGAATAAGTTGTATAGATGTTCTATTTCCTTTTTCTGCTGTTCCGGTTTGCCGCAGTGTGTTTGGGCTCGTTTAAATAAAGTCCTTGTGCAGCTTCTTTTTCTTTTTTTGGGTTGTTGCTTTGGTAGTGGAGTACCTGGTTAGTATGGGTGGTTTTTCTGTAGATTTGCTTTTCTAATTTGCCATTTTGATCTCTGTCTCACAAATTATCACCCGACTTTTGTTCTGGCACTCTGACAAATCAGCTATCAGACACATAGCCATAAACAATATCTACATACTGTGCAAAAGAGATAATCAGTAAGCCAAAAAGGCAGCAAAAAGACCACAAACATCTCCCCATCAGCAACCAACACCCAGATGAGCATAGATTAATGCCAAGATTAATATCAGACCAGGAATAATGTAATATCCCAATCAAGAAACTTCCAAAGAGCCAACGGTAAACAGCCCAATCAAAGAATCTCTTAAGACCACCCCCAAGCCAAGCCAAATCCAAAAACGCCAATGAATTTCTAGAAGCCTGTTACTCTGACAAGTCGGCCATCAATACCGGTAAACACACAGACATTAACATCTCTAGACTATGCAAAAGGGACAATCACCCAGCCCAAAAAGGAACAAAAAACCCCAACACCTCTCCACCAGCAATCAGCACCCAGATCAGCAGATTAATTCCAAGGTTAACATCAGACCAGCAATCAAATAAACAATACCCCAATCAAAAACTGCCAAAGAGCCAAAAATAAACAGCCCAACCAAAGAATCTCTAAGACCATCCCCACCAATAATGACAGGGCAAGCTACCAGAATATAAACTGACAGCAAACTGCACTCTTTACTAGCACGGATGATGTTACCTAGTTTGAATAATGAAACGCCTGCAAGAAAACAAGCTCAGAGGGCACCAAGGACCCCTCATGTCAACCCTGAGCTACAAATATTCTCCTCCATTAAAGACCATCTGCTAGGAAGCTAGAGTGGAAGAAAGACATTCTGCATATAAGTCACTGTTTCTCAAGCTGGGTCACTTTAAGAAGGGAGGACTTCAACTCCCATAATTCCTCAGCCAGCTGTGCTGGCTGGGGAATTCTGGAAGTTGAAGTCCACACATATATATAACTGCTATCGACTGCCCACCACCACCAACAACCACCCACTTCCAGTCCACAAAAGACCTTGGAGCAAGACTTTTAAGATAGCACTTTATTTGGTTCACAAGCACGAGAGCAGAGATGGGTGGCGGCAGCCATTCCTGGAACACCTAGACAGATTGTAGAAAAGGCCAAGAGTCTCTGGAACGTGGATGGGCTGGTTACAGGGAAAGAAGGCAAGTTAAGCTGAGGGGTAATTCAGCACAGGAGGCCTCCGTGCTTGGCATGTACCAGTCCCCTGGGCTGGAGAAAGAATAAAATTGGGTCGCAGCTCTTACCACCAGGGTAGCTACTCCTGGGAGTATGACCACACACAACATCTCTTGACAGGGTTGGATCCTATAATATATTCTGGAGTGGGAATGAAGGAGTGAAGGAAGAAAGGAAGGAGGGAGGGAGGGAAGGAAGGAAGGAAGGAAGGAAGGGAGGGAGGGAGGGAGGGAGGGGTTCCTGGCCTCGCTGTGTGCTGCTTTCCTATTCCTACTAGGATCCAATTTTTCACAGCGTCATTCAAGATAGTGCACAAGTGAATCTTTTAAAGTGCATGTGGCATAGCTCAGTATTGGTTCGTTCAAACCAACAGGAGACTCCAAGTTTCATCTGCCTAAGTCAAGCGAGGAAAGCATATCTCTAAAGGGTATCAGTTGCCTCTCCTTTGGAAGGACGATCCCCTAAATCCCTTCCAAAGCAGGACTACCCAGGCCTATAGCTCCCAGTTGTAGGTCACACCAGCTGGAAAACAATCAAGCCTGGTTCAATGTTCAATCAGGCAGCTGGAACCCCTGGATCTCCCATTTGCTCAGTATGAATGTGAGAGAAACCCCAAGAGCGCTATCTACCTCTCCTTCAGGGGGACCTCTCCCTCCTCCCCACCCCTCCATCCAAGCGAGTGTTGGTGCATGCAGTCCCAACCCCTTGTTTACTTCTTCTTCTTCTCCTGAGTGCTGGTAAACCAGGAGTCCAAGAGCTTTTTGCTGTAATAAAGTTGCCAGCCATGAACCTGCACCGCCACCACTATCAACAAATACATGACAGAGACTGCAGAGAAACCAAAGATGAAACGGTAGGCTTTGCCATGGCGGTAGAGCTGCTGGGCCATCGGGAACATCTCCATGCTGCCGTAGATGAGAGGCGCCACCGAGAAGAGGCCAGTGCTGATCATGGAAATCACCAGGTAGCTGATGTTGTTTCGGGGAAAGGAGAAGAGGCCAAAGAGGGAAGGGATGATGCTGAGCAAGTAGGGGTACTCCCATTGGTAAGGCATGGCCACCTTGTCATGGGGCAGAAGTTTGAAGTGAGCTACGCACATCTGTGCTGCCACCAACAGCCACAGGGCCACCTGTATGTAGATCAACTTCTTAATCTCAGACTTGAGAGAGACGCTGTGGAAAGCAGAGAAAAGACGCAAGGAGGAATGGTGAGTTTGATCCTCTGCTAAAAGGAGTCAGAGAGTTTTAAAAACTGAAACAAAAATCGGAGCGGCCTTCCAGACCCAATGGCCTTCTGGAATGGTTGAATCAGGAAGCTCAACTTCTATGGCAGGGGTAGGCAACCTTGGCTCTTTTATGACTCGTGGACTTCAACTCCCAGAATTCCTGAGCCAGCATAGAATTCTGGGAGTTGAAGTCCAAGAGTCATAAAAGACCCAAGGTTGCCTACCCCTATGGGTAACAGATGAAATGAATCGGAGATGGTATTAAATCTTTGCCCTCATGTCACTCATGGATCCATACCGTAGGAATGACATGACATGGCAGGATAAGCACATATTTACAGTCACTGGATACACATTTGGAACTCTGAAAGAACTTTCAGGAAACGGCTACTATAATGGACTTAATCAAGGACAGTGAGAAAAATTCATTTAAATTTCATTGAAAACTAAGTTGTGATGTTGCCCTCTACAGCCTCCCCTAGTCTCCATGGATGCTTTCTATCCACTCAGCTTCATTTTGTCCTTTTTAGTTGTAGCCAACATACTTCCAAATACAGGTATTCCTCAACTTACGACCAGTTGATTAGTGACCATTCAGAGTTATGCTGGACCTCTGAGGGTACTTACGACCAGGATTTGAATTTCTGATGGCCGCACACAACCCTCGTGGTCACATGATCACACTTTGGGCGCTTGGCAACCGGCCTGCCTTTATGGCTATTGGCAGCATCCCACAGTCATATAACCATGTTTTACAGCAGCTTTGCCAAAAACGGGCAGTTACTTCCAGTTTGGGGCAAAACTGGTCGATAGTGAGCCATTCATTTGCTTAACGACAACCGCCCGTGTGGGTGGCCCGATTTATGACTGTGGTGGGCAGGCTCCCTTACCGCCATAACTTGAGGATACCATCTAACCATATTCATTTTCTGAAACCGTGAAAAGAATTCGTAGGCATCTTTGTAAATATCTGTTTGAAAATGACAGCCAGTGTGGTGTAATGCTTAAGGTGCTGGATGACAACTGGAGAGATGTACATTCCAATGCACTCTCGGTCGCATTCTCTCTCAACCAGGGCCTACCTTATAGAGTTGTTGGGGGGGGGAGGAGAGGATGGAAGACAGGAATATTTTGTATGTCTCCTTGAGCTCCAGTACAAAAACCTAAGCCCAGATAGTCCTTGACTTAACAACCATTTGTTTAGTGACCGTTCAAAGTTACAATGGCACTGGAAAAAAGTGATTGATGGCCGTTTTTCACATGACCGTTGCAGCGTCCCTGTGGTCATGAGATCAAAATTTGGATGCTTGGCGACAGGCATGGATTTATGATGGTTACAGTGTCCTGGGATCATGTGATCACCTTTTGTGACCTTCTGACTAAGCAAAGTCATTGAGGAAGCCAGATTCACTTAATAGCTGTTACTACCTGTCAGATCTGCCATCTTCTGCTTGGCTCCTCGTTGGCATCCTGCCATCAACTGCTAAGCGGTGGGGGAAAGGAGAGGAAATGGGCAATAAGTATGGATGGGGTAGAGAAGACCAAAAGGGAAGGGGTGATGACAGGTTGAGAGCAACCAGAGGTGCGAGAAACCAGCCTGTTCCAGTCTTCAAGGCCACGAACCCTGAGAAAGGAATGGGGATTGCACCAAACATCCCAGCAATACTCAAAACACCTATGTGACACATCACCGGCCGAAGGTGAACCGGTCAAAGGGGGAGGGCCGGGATGAAGAAGAAAAGTTTGTAAACTTTTGTGTGTGAATTTTAATTCTAGCCTGTTTTTGCTGCAACCACCAATGCTTAGTAAAAGAGCCTATCGCTTCAACCAAATGGAGTGTTGTTCTTTCCTAGAATCTAGCTGGGACAAGCCTGACTCTGCCTTAACAACTGCAGTGGTTCACTTAACAATTGTGGCAAGAAAGTTCGTAAAATGGGGCAGAACTCAGTTAACAACTGTCTTGCTTAGAAAATGGGGCTCAATTGTGGTTGTAAGTCAAGGACTATCTGTATAAATAAAGTTGGTACTTATTTTCAATGGGGGCTTCCCTTTATTTTATTTAAAATAATCTTCAAAAAAATATATATATCCAGCTACTGCAGACAATCTGGCAGCTATTAAGAAAAAGCGCCAGTGGGTGCTTCATTACCCACTTCTGAACTACAGGACAGACTTTTGCTTCCTTGAGGCAAAGCAGTCCTAACCTGAGAAAAGCTGTTCCGCGAGAAAGGTCAAGAGGCATTCATGAGAAATATTTTTCTCCCAAAGCCCCAGGGCTTTTATCATTGCATAACAAGCAAACATTCAGTGACTGTTTTTCCCAACGTAATGATGTTGCAATGGAAAAAGCTTCAACAGCTAAATTACCACCATGAGACAGCTAGCTGTACACAGTATTTACTTAAACCACATTTACCCTGCTCTTCAACTCCACCCCTGCCCACCACCTTCTGGCACCTATGTCACAAGGAAACTTATGACAAATCTCTTACTTTCCAATATGGTAGAACGGTGCCCATTCAAACATCTGATAAGTCAACAACATGGTAAAGGTCTGGAAAGATAGAGCAGTGATGGCGAACCTTTTAGAGACCGAGTGCCCAAACTGCAACCCAAAACCCACTTATTTATCGCCGGGTGCCAGGTGGGCATGGCCCACTGGATGGGCGTGGCTGTGGTGGTCATGGCAGATTGGGTGGGTGTGGCCAAGGTGGGTGTGATCACCTCAATGTTGCTCGTGGGGAGGGACACCTGTGGGGGCCAGGCAGGGTTGGGGGAGATCCAGGGGGTCTCTGGCAGGTGAGACGGTGGGCAGGAGGCTCATCCTGCGGGGAGAGGTGAGGCAAGGCGAGGCAGGGCGGGGGTGCCATTGTCACAGGGCAAGGTGAGGCAGGAGCCGAGCAGCTGCTGCCTGACACCATCAGCCCCTGCACACAGAGGCCAGCGAGCGCATGGGTGCTGGGATGCATCCAGCCATGTGGGACCTCGGTGAGTTAGCGGGCGGCTGGTTGAAGAGGGATGGTTGCCATTCTCCGAGGTATGGCGCGCGTGCCCACAGAGAGGGCTCTGAGTGCCGCCTCTGGCACGCGTGTCATAGGTTCGCCACCACTGAGAGCCTGCCTTTTGTTTTCTGTTTACCTCTTTTTTCAGCCACTAGTAAAAACTAAGTCAGTTCCTTTATCAATCAACTAGCAACCCATAGCGGTTAAAGTGCTGGGTTCTGAGTTCTATTTCTGCCTTAGGCATGAAAGCTGATTGGGTGACTTGATCAGTCACTCTGGCTCAACTGAGCCCAACTCAGCTCACAGGGTTGCTGTTGTTGCGGGGAAAATAGGAGCAGGAAGGCACATTATATATGTTCTCCACCTTGAGATACCTATAAAGTGATAAAGGCAGGATAAAAATGTAATAAATCAGTAAGTAAATTGGGCATAAGTACCAAATAATACATTGATCGGTTGGCCAAACTCATGACATCAGAGAACCCTTGACATCAAAAATGCTTGCCAAGAAGACTGTAGGTACTCCTCCAGAAAGTTGCCATGAGTTGAAAGTGACTTGCATAAAACAATAATCCCGCTAAAACCTGTGTTTACATGTAAAGATACTTTAAGACAATGGTCTTCTCTACTCCAAAAAGCAGAGGTCAATGCCCAAGAAAAAAGGAAAGCTTGCTTAACTTCGAAGCAGAGGGCCCAGATTCTCTCTCCAGCCAACCTCTCTGAAACAAGTATCAAAAATGTGGTGAAAAGGAAGACATTAAGTTAGCTGGTTTGAATGGATTTGTTCCATTTGAAAGTCTGTCTAGGTGTTTTCTTCTCCCAATAAACTTCTTTTAGATCTAGAGAATTGGCTTCGTTGGTTTAACAAGGGCATTTCTCATTCAAACCTTGCAAGAGCCTCTTAATTATAGATGAAGTCGTCCTCCAGGCAAATCAAATCTGACTGACCTCAAAGGTACATTATCTGGGCAATAATAAGAGAATGTTTGGCTACTATTTCTTCTAGAAAGCTTTTCAACTTCTCAGGCTCCTGTACAGCCCAGAGAGAGATCCTGGTGATTTTCCACTCAAGTACTAATCCTGTTTAGCTATTATCACCTCAGCTAAATGCTGCCACCGCTACCTGCTATGTATTTTTGCAGATATCCTCAATTAAAACAACCCAGTTCCTTCGGTCAGAGGCTTGTGCCGTAGAACAGGGCTTTTCAACCAGTGGTACGGGTACCACCTGTGGTACATTGGCACCTGGCAGGTGGTACGCGACCATCCTAGAAAAGTGGTAGCGGGGGAGGGGAATGAGCTGAACCGGTGGCAGCACCACACAAGCCTGAGCAAGAGATGGCTGGAGCTGCAGGGCTGTCAGGGCTCAGCAGAAGTGCCAGGATCAGTGCCAGGTTCCAGCTGGAGCTTGGCGCTGATCCTGGCGCTTCTGAGCCCAGAAGAAGCGCCGATCAGCTGGAATGTTGCAGCCTCTCCAGGGTCTTGTGATTTACATTCAGATGCTTGGCAACTGATTCATATTTATGACGATCAGTGTCCCAGGGTCATATGAAGTGACCAAAATGTGCTGCAACCACCCAGCAGATGGGGAGAATAAAAACCAAACACCCCCCCACCCCACCCCCGCTGCCAATCCTCAGCAGAAATGCTCACAACAATGGAAACCTCAGACAGGAGGAAGAGCGCCGCCGGGTGGGCAGGCAGGTGTCTTGCTCGGCTGTGTCTTGGGGGACACTTTTTTTCAGTGCCATTGTAACTTTGAACAGTCACTAAGCAAACTGTTGTAAGTTGAGGACTACCTGTACTTTATCACTTTTTTTCCTTTGGGGGGGGGGTCATCAAGTTTTTGACAGTTTGCTAGGCGACTGGTGGTACTCGGATGTTGCCATATCCTAAAAGTGGTACAATGGGTGAAAAGGTTGAAAAGCCCTGCCGTAGAAGACAAGCCACCAAGAATGCAATCTAAGGAAAAATGAACGCAGTGTTTAACCTCATTATTCAAATACAATCGAGCAGCATGCTATCTCCCGCCTTTTACCTTTGGGGAAAGGAGGTTATATAAAAGGGTAGGGGGGGGGAAGAGAAATGCACTAAATGACTCTCATTTTAGAGGAAGCCACCAATTCAATGATCGGTAGGAGCAGCCAACGACAATCGTCCTGTCGAGTCGGTTGCAGAGCACGGATCAGGCAGGGCAGGCAGGAAAGCGGCAGCTCCCGATGCTGCAACATGCAGGTTTAAAGACGGGGAGGGAGGGGGGAAATTGGCTTCCTAATGGGTGCATGAGCGCGACCCCACCCCACCTCATTTGGTAATGCTGGGCCACGCGCTCCCGGTGCCGGAAGTCGCTGCCATCGGTTCCCGTGGCTCGAGGTCCCGCGCGCGAAGCCATCTTCACGAAGGGCAGAAAGCGACCGCCAAGGCAAAGAGCGCATGCGTTAGCATGTGCTAACGTGTTGTTTTTGGAGCCCCGCCTCCCGCGCATTGGTACTTCAATCAGGGGCTGTTCTGTTCCTCGGACGGGCGGGCCTTCCTGTTTTTTTTTTGTTTTTTTTTTTAACAGGGGAAAAAGAGGCGGTGCTATACGGCATTTGCTCTCTCGCAGGAAACTACATCTCCCAGCAGCGACCGTGCCTCTAACAGGTGAGGCAAGTCGTCGTACGTGTGTCTACCGTCCAGTACACGCTTCCGGGCTGTTCGCCGCGCGCTCGGGATGTTCAGCATTAGCCTCCGCCGCGTGGTCTGCGCGCGGGGAAGGCTGCGCGCGCATTTCAGCACCCCGCCTGCTTGGTAAGAAAATCGGTCAGTTTCCATTTGCAGAGGGGTCTTCAAACATGGCCCTTTTACGACCTGTGGACTTCAACTCCCAGAATTCCTCAGCCAGGTACGCTGGCTGAGGAATTCTGGGAGTTGAAGTCCACAAGTCGTAAAAGGGCCATGTTTGAAGACCCCTGCATTAGCATCTTAACTCGCCTTCTTCTGCCGGGGCTTCTGTCTGTGTGGTGACAGGCAGGACGCCCCAAAGGTGCTTTTTCAAGAGGCCAACTGGACTTCCTTGTTTTTTCTTTGAAGACGTTTTGCTTCTCACCCAAGAAGCTTCTTCGGCTCTGACTGGATAGAGGGGAAATGGAAGGATTTATACTCCTTGCAGACAGCTGATCATTTGGATCCTTTTAGAGAGTCGTTGAGGCCATTTGGAAGTTTATTTGTGCCCTCTGGGTTACCTGATTAGTGCAAATGTGTGTGGAGCCTTCTTGGCTGCAGGAAGTTTTCTGCCCTGTGTCCCTTCACTGTGAAGAGCGGCACAAGGCTGTGTGGTCTGCATCTCAAACTGAAGCGCCAATGGTTCCTGTAGTCTGCAAGGTTTTCTGGAAATCCTTTCATACTCCTGCACCATTCGGAGCGGCTTCATCCCAAAGTGCATAGCTAAATGTCTGTGGAGATTCTCAGTCATCCAGGTCAGGGTTGTTCCAAAGGTGCTTTTTCAGGAGGCAACTGGACTTTCTTCTTTTGCCAGGACCTAAATGACTGAGAATCTCCAGGCAGAAGAAGCTCAACAAGCATGACTCGTGCGGGCAAGAAATGCCGCAAGGGATGAAGTACGCTTCGTCAGTGGCGACATCCCTTGCCTGCATTTCTCGCAAAGAGGGACCTGCAGAGATACCTCCAGAATGACTGGAAGTTCTCCTATTAGAGGAAAAGAAGCCGAGAGACAATTCAAGCCAGCTGTCTTTCGGGCTTCGTCTGGACCTGTTTATTGCACCAACCTTGTAAGCATGTACAGCGATGTTTCTCAACCTTGGTAGCTTGAAGATGTGTGGACTTCAGTTCCCAGAATTCCCCAGCCAGTTATGTGGGGAATTCTGTGAGTTGAAGTCCACACATCTTCAAGCTACCAAGGTTGAGAAACATTGATGTGCAGGATAGTTTTTTCCTTCTCCGGGTTTATAAATGAGAAGCTGTTTACCTTGAGCTACTTTTGTCTGCCTCTCCAAATAAATTCATGAAGGAAATCCATGGGAGTTGAGCAAGGAAAGTATTGAATGGCTGTAGTTGTATTTCAAATTGTCTTAGAAATACATTGAAATACAAGAATGGCTGTTTCATTTGTATATAGCCCATTTTTATTACCTGGTTTGAAATTGAAGAGAGAATAGCGAATCCGTATGTATTTACATCAGCTTCCAGTTCTAAGCCTGGATGTTTCTAAAATTTGTTCATGTCAACAGGTTTAGAAAGCTCTTTTTTCAGCCAAGCTTCATATAAAACACTTAGCTGCCCTGTGAGAATTTCGAGACAGAGGAAGTCAATGACACCAACTTTGTTTCAAAATTAGTATGGAATGATCCTTTAGAGTAGTTCTTATTCATTTACTGCAGGGGTCTTCAAACTTGGCCCTTTTATGACTTGTGGACTTCAACTCCCAGAATTCCTCAGCCAGCATGGCTGGCTGAGGAATTCTGGGAGTTGAAGTCCACAAGTCATAAAAGGGCCAAGTTTGAAGACCCCTGATTTACTGTGTTCACATTAAAATGCCTCTCCTCTCCAGGCATTGTCAGAATGCAGTATTGCAGGCTAATTCACTGCTGACTGCCAGGAGTTCAATCCTGACCCGCTCAAGGTTGACTCAGCCTTCCAAGGTCAGTAAAATGAGGATCCAGATTGTTGGGGGCAATAGGCTGACTCTGTAAACCACTTAGAGCTGTAAAGCTCTATGGAGCGATATATAAGTCTAAGTGCTATTGCTATTGCTGTCCATTCACTTGATCTCTTATATACAATGAAGGAAGTAGCAGTTCTTTGGAGATTGCTGCTCTGCAGTTCGAAACACTCACTGCTATACAGCAACATCTAGGCTGCCATAGGTTTCCCCCTCATTACATTTTGTGAAACTTTTGATGAGCATAATTCCAGTCGTTAACTGCCAAGAATGATAGTGGTAAGGTATTCATCTAGATCAGGGGTCTTCAAACTTGGCTCTTTTATGACTTGTGGACTGCAACTCCCAGAATTCCTCAGCCAGCATGCCTGGCTGAGGAATTCTGGGAGTTGAAGTCCACAAGTCATAAAAGGGTCAAGTTTGAAGACTCCTGATCTAGATTAAAAAAAATAATTATTGGAAAAAAAGAGAATGAATATGAAGATAATAGCTGGCTTAGAATACAAGTGGGTTTTTAAAACAATTTTCATTTGGCTTAGGTATCACTTGCTGAAGCTAAAAAAATTAGACAAGTCAATGAGAGAAACACCCAGTAAAATAAACTACTTGAAACCGTTAAAGCCACTGGAGCCTGATTCGTTGCTGAAACTACTGGAAGCATCTATAGTACATGCGGATGGTACGTACGTTCTCTCATAATTCTTGAGCCAATGGTAGGGAACCCTGCAGATATTGCTGAATTCAAATTCCTATCATCCTCGGTTAACTGTGCCAGCTGGAGTTTATGGTAAGTAGACCCCAAGAACATTTGGAAGGCCTGGTCGATCATCCTTGTCCTGGAATGTATGGGCAAACATTGAAACCGAAGGGCAGGAGATTTGAACGGGCAGAGGACGGGGCAGGACCTTCATGTAATATCCCAAATGAATCCCCAGCAGCTAAGGAGTGGCAAACTTTTGCCTTCACATTGGCTTTGTCCTTTTCCCAGAAACATCTGCTTGGCTCCAGTAGGGCAACTGGACTTTTATTGAGCCTTTAATATGCTACCATACTTGATTAAGAAGCTTCTTCCTGTTTGGTGGCACACAGGTCTGTTTAAGACTATTGGAGGGATATGACCTGGTTTAAAGATGCTAAGCTACAATGTGGCTTGATCTTGGTTTACTATGTCGTGTGATCTCAACCAGTATGATTTACTGAGTAAATGATGTGGTTGAGCAAAGTATAGTTGAATCTCGTATACAATTAATCCTCAATTTATGACCACAGTTGAGCCCAAAATTTCTGTTGCTAATCAAAGCAGTTGTTAAGTAAGCTTTGATCCTATTTTGCGACTTTCCTTGCCCCCGTGGTTAAGTGAATCACTGCAGTTGTTAAGCTAGTAACACGGTTCTTAAGTGAATCTGGCTTCCCCATTGACTTTGCTTCTCAGAAGGTCACAAAAGCTGATCACATGATCCCGGGACACACTGCAATCCTCATAAATATGAACCAGTTGCCAAGCGTCTGAATTTTGATCAAGTGACCGTGGGAATGTTGTAACTATTGTTGAGTGTGGAAAACAGTCCTGCTGTAAGTCACTTTTTCAGTGCTAACTTTGTAACTTTGAACAGTCACTAAACGAATGGTTGTAAGTCGAGGACTACCTGTATGTATACTTGGACTGGCAGGATTCTAAACTTTGCAATGGAATATCAAAAGTGGTTTTTATTGTTGAAGAAAGAAATAGACGTAGATATTTATGTCATTCATGGGCATTTGCAATGGAATCCTTTCTGCTGATACAGGCAGTCCTCGTTTAGCATCATTCACAGCTACCACTGTGATGGAAAAAGTAACTTTTGGACCAAGCCTTGCATTTATGACCTTCACAGAACTGTACAGCAGAGAAAAGTTGAAATAAAATCATTTGCACAGAGGCAATTTCATTTTAGCAATTGTTTTGCTTAACAACCAATTTGTCAGGCCCAATTGTAATTGCTAAATAAGGACAGCCTATATAGGAAACTGGCAGAGACTGCAACTTAAGTTACTTTGTACCTTTTTCAAATGTCTATATATTCTCTTTTTCCTTCCCCTGATTTTAAAAGAACATGGAAGAAAGGAATGAACATGGGAACTATGAAGTGTAATAAAATATCCATAGCCACTCCCCCAAAGCCAACCCACCATAACCTGTGAATTATACAATCCCGCTATACCAGGGGTAGGCAACTTTGGCTCTTTTATGCTGGCTCAGGAATTCTGGGAGTTGAAGTCCACGAGTCATAAAAGAGCCAAGGTTGCCTACCCCTGCACTATACCATCGTTTTGAATTGTGCAGTAATCTGTAAGCCTGTTCTGGAATTGTTTTGAACCCATTGCCATTTGTCCTTTCAATTTTGTATTTCAGGTACACTTGTGGCCATTAACAAACCTTGCGGTATCCCTGTATCAGGTATGCAGTCCTGTGACTGAATGGGGTATGGGATAGCTGCCATGGATACTTTTCTTATATATGAAATGATGAAGCCTTCTTTATAAATCAGTGAAGGTATTTGCACATTGGCTGTTTAGCACTGTACTGCAAATAATTTAGGAGAAATGTGAAGATAACAGGTTTTTTTCTCCAAATAAATTGGGAAGTGATATTAATTTTAATCTGGAGGACAAGCAGACCTCCAGCAGTAAGGGAAAAAGAACTCTTACACACGAAGGAGTGGTAAATGAGATTTGATTGGAATGTGGGCCATTGATAGGCTCGCTCTTCCTCCAACAGGCAAGCCAGAAGACCTGACTTTGCAATCTGTTCTGCCACAGCTAAGCCAGAATCTAAATCTCCCACAAGATCTCCAGGTGATCAAAGCTCCAGAAAAGTAAGTAGCTGAATCCTAGTTCCAGGGGAAATGTGAAAGTGATAGATGAAAGCTAAGTCAGGATATCATGATTTAATATGTGCACATAATACTTACCTTCCATCATCTAGCCTACTTAATTGTAAAAACGATGTTGCTTCTTCGTAGGCCATCATGTGATGTCCTTAATCAGGGGTCTCCAACCTTGGCAACTTTAGGACTTGTGGACTTCAACTCCCAGAATTTCCCAGCCAGCATGTAAACTGGTGTTTACTTCTGTTTTCCAGTAAAAAAAATGCCGGATAGAAACAATGGGATTACTTAATAACTACCGTGTTTCCCCGAAAGTAAGTCCCAGCCAAAAAGTAAGCCCTAGCTTGATTTTGGGGGTGGGTGGGCCTAATATAAGCCCTACTCCAAAAATAAGCCCTAGTTTGGGGGCGAGGCGCATGCCTAAAAATCAAGCTAGGGCAGGGATGGGGGGGGTGAAGCTGCCCCACACCCCACAGCCGCTTACCTTACTGGTAGGCCCACCACAGCCAGGCCTCCCACACCCCGACATTTGTCAGGTCGCATGGCTCATCACGCCAGTGCCACCACTCACGGCAGGAGGTTGCACAGCGCTTCAGCCATTTCTGCTGCTCGCGGCAAAAAACCACACGGAGCTTCGGGTCATTTTCTCTGCTCTTGGCAGGACGCCACATGGTGCCTTGTGCCATTTCTGCTGCTCGCGGCAGGATGCCGCGTGGCTCTTTGGGCCGTTTCTGCTGCTGGCAGACACGGCCCAAAGAGCCACGCAGCATCCTGCCGCGAGCAGCAGAAACGGCACAAAGCACCATGCGGCATCTTGCCGCGAGCAGCAGAAACAGCCCAAAGAGTCATGCAGCATCCTGTCGCAAGTAGCAGAAACGGCGCATAGCACCATGCGGCCTCGTGCCAGGAGTAGCGGCAACAGCACAATGTGCCACATGGCGTCTGGCCACAAGTGGCAGCAAGCGGCCGCAGAAGAAGTCAAGCAGCGGCGCGACAGGTGTTGGGATGTGGGAGGCCTGGCTGTGGTGGACCTAAGGTAAGACGTTCTCCAAAATTAAGACCTGGTGCCTCTTTTGGAGGCAAAAAAAATATATAAGACCGGGTCTTAATTTCGGGGAAACACGGTATCATATTTGCTTAATCCCATTGCATTCACTTACTGACTGCTACAAAAAAGGGTCATAAAATTGGGTATGGCACATGGTGACCCACTTAATGACCATTACATCACAATTATGGGCTTAACTGGTTATAAGTCGAGTTTGTCTGATTTGATTAGTATATTCAAGCCAGTTATATGATTACCCAGGATTATGGGCTAAGCCAGCCACGACTCCTGATATGATGTAAACTCAGGCTGCATTTTAGAATGGAAAATGTCCAAAGTTCAGATCCCATCACGATTATAAATTAGTTGAGTGGTCTCAAACAAATCCTTAGTTTGTCCATTCAGTGAGGTTTATTAATAGCTCCTGTTAAAGAACAGACGGATGTTTTAAAAAGGACTTTGCGTTTTTGTAGGGAAGGTTCTGGACTTGTTCTGCTGTCAAGTTGCCCAAACACTACCCGATATATCCAAGATTTTTATATTCAGCGTAAGAAGAAAAAAGATCCAGTTGCTACTTACTGGTGAGAAAACATTTTCTATTGTTTTCCTGTTTAGGGGGTTGGATGGGAAAGTGTGGAATCACTAATTTTCTTAGTTGGAAAATTTGCAATCCAAGTACACTTATTATTTCCAAAGCATTGCCCGTTATCCTTCTCCTTGCAGTGCTATTACTACCAGGACTCCAGTAGCTACAGAAGGAGAAATTCATACAGGCCTCAAGCTGGTGGACATTGATGGCTTTGATCTGGTAAGGGTAGGGATACCTGACTGGGGGTACGGATGGAGGAGCTTTAGATTGTGGTTCTGGGAGACTTCTAGCGGCTGTTCTGGACAGGGAGGGTAACAGATTCAGAAGAATCCCAATATTGCCAATCTGGGATTGCACTTCCTGCCATGGGTACAGATTTAGTTAGGTGATGTGGGAGAAGAGCAAGCAGAACTGGGGAGGGCGGAATTAAACGCACCATCAGTTTGGAATCCTTGCATCACCATAAGACAGTGATGGCGAACCTTTTAGAGACCGAGTGCCCCAAAACCGCCCCTGCCTCCCTGCCCACCCCACTCTGTGCCCCGCCCACCCGCAGGGCCACCTATTGCCTCCACGGCCTGTGGCAGATTGCCCAGGCAGCCCAGCAGCGCCATGGCAGCCACGCCCTCTGCCCATGCCCCGCAGCATAATCTGCGTGTGACAGGGCGCGAGGGCAGAGTCTTCTCCCCGCTGCCTGGCTGCCATGCTCTTGGCTGTGCTGCTCTGCGCGGACTGCACTCGGGGGCAACTCTCCTCTGGGGGGGCTGCTGGTGAGGAGGAGGGGGCTGTGGGGGGACGCGGGGCTGGGGCAATGGTGCACGTGCCCACAGAGAAGACTCTGAGTGCCACCTCTGGCACACATGCCATAAGTTCGCCACCACTGCCATAAGAGATCCAAATCTACCCCCCCCCCCAAATTCTGTTGACTCTTATCTAGCACCAGTTTAGTGCTGACTGTTAGTTGAGTAGATTCTTGTGTATAGGCTTGAATAATAATTCTTCTGGGCTGGAGTGTACCGTTTGCTTTTGATCCTTTGTGCTTGACAGGTGGTCAGAGCGTGTGCTAATGCCGATGTCTCTCTGGGTTACAGGTAGTGCCAGAGGCTTCCCCTTCTCGCAAGAGCCTGCAAATGAAGGAGGTAAAAAAGACACTGACTTACTACAAAGTGCTGGACTCAAAGAAGGGCTGTGCCCTTTTGCAGCTGCAGCCAGTGACAAGTGAGTTACAAAGCCTGAGTAGAGCAGAGGACGCCTAAGGGGACAACAGCCCAAAGTGGGCAAGTCAACTGTCCTGAAAAGTGGATTACACGTAGTCCTCGTTTAATGGCCACTCATTCAGTCACCCTTAGAAGTGATAATGGTGCTGAATGCGCTGCAGTTACATGATTGCTATTTGGGCTCTCGGCAACCAGCTCGAAATTATGATGTCATCGCTATTTGCCCACTTCCCTGCTGACTTCTGACAACCAAAGTCAGTGAGGAAGCTTGCAGGAGGTTGCAAATGGCAATCACATGACTGTGATTTGGGATGCTGCAACCATACAGGATTCACTTAATGGCAGCAACAGGAATTGCTGGAACAGCCGTTATAAGTTGGCACGGCTTCATGACCATGACTGGATTGCTTAGTGATGGAGTTCCTGGTTGCAATTCCCAATCTCAGTCCCTGAATAAAACGGTTGTTAAGCAAGATGCCCACATGATTGCCTTGCTCGGCAACCACAATCCCGGCACTCTGATAGCAGTCATTAAGCAATCTCCTGCATTGTTAAGCAGATGGAGCAAAACGATGTGCCTGCCAGGAGGAATTCAGTTCTGTACGAAACTGAAATCCTCCTGGCAGGCAGCCCTTTCGCTCACAAATGTTCCTGCAGCCCACTAAGAGAGTTTCCCTCCCCTCTGTGCACAGAGGGAAAATCCTTCGCCGAGCTGCAGGAGCAGAGCTGAAATCTTTAGGATTTTCCCTCCCCTCCGTGCATGCATGAGAAATCCTTCGGCTGGCTGATTTCAGCTCAGTTCCTGTAGCCCACAGAAGGATTTCAGTTCACCCCCATCCCCTCTGCTTGCAATGTTCCCTGCCTCCCGAGAAGATTGCAAGTGGCAGTCACGTGATTGGAGGGTGCTTGGCAACTGGTTGTAAATGAGCGCTGGTTGCCAAGCACCAGAAATTGGTCAGGTCACATGACCACAAGGTGGGGAGTAACATTTTTATGATGCCTGCTTTATGACAGACATGTCAAACACAAGGCCCGAGGGCCGGATGCGGCCCGTGAAGTGGTTTCATGTGGCCCGCAAAGCCATTCTGGAAACAGTGAGGGAACGGCCCCCTCCGCCTTGGCCCTGGCCCAGGCCGGCCGGGAGCCAATGTACAATTTTGTGGTGGCCATCTTGGCACTTGCCCCATGTGGACCATGCCTTGGCACTTGCCCCGGTCCCACCCCCTTCTGCCAGAGACCCTCAGATCTGTCCCACTTCTGCCCAGGCCCCCACAGGCACCCTTGATGCGAATGACGTAGAACTGGCCACGCCCACCCAGTAGGCCACACCCACTCCATCCACGCCCACCCAGTAGGCTGCGCCCACTCTGGCCACACACACCCAGCCCCCCCAGGGCAACCGTAATACTGATGCGGCCTTCAGTGACATTGAGTTTGACACCCCTGCTTTATGGGCTGTAAAGCACCCTTTTTGAGGCCATTGTAATCTTGAACGGTCATAAGTCGAGCAGTTTGGCATTTGTGACCTTTAAAAACAAGCAAAGAAACTTAGGAATCGAGTTCTGATTCTCATGATTGTACAGAAACCTGTTATTTTTACCATGATTGTACAGAAACCTGTCATTTTTACCTGAATGGAATTTGACAGTGTCCTCATTTATATAGAGGATGGGGCTTCTCTTGGCAAGTTGACTGTTACATTTTTCCGGTACCTCTTAGTTTCTGTTTTCTGTCTCTCATTTTAATGCTCTTTCTTTACTCTTTCTCTTAACAACTCCACCCCAAATTACGTGCTCTTATTCTTCCTGTGTTTTTTCCCCACGTTCCATCACTTTGTTGTTTCCTCTTGCTTATTTCCAAATACTTTCCAAAATGCATGCTGGGGGGGGGGGGAAACCCCTTGACCTTTTGAGTGCTTTTTTTCTCCCAGTGTAGATTATCATATTTTTGGGCAGAGGATTGGGATAGAGCCGTGGTGGCGAACCTATGGCACATGTGCCACAGGTGGCACGCAGAGCCCTCTGTGTGGGCACGCACGCCATTGCCCCAGTCCTAGGCCTTCAGATGGGTTTTATAAAACCTTTTCGCTTTAGGCCTCCGCTGCTGTGTGCAAAAAAAAAAAAAGGTTCAATCAATCAATTTCAACTTCTCGCGGGGGAAAAAAAAATCTCGCAAAGTTGGAATTGATTGATTGAACTTTTTAGTCCCACCCAGTCTGCCCTTACCACCACAGCCACGTCCACCCAATGGGCCACACCCACCCAATGGGCCACACCCACCCGGCACCCGACGACACATAAGTGGGTTTTGGGTTGCAGTTTGGGCACTCGGTCTCTAAAAGGTTCACCATCACTGGGATAGAGTGAGGACGTGTTATTGTTTTTGTTTTATCCTATTTTTGGATGCCGTGTGTGTAGACCCTATTATAAATCCCTTTTTAAAAAAAAGCTTAGCAGTTCCTGCCGAACCGTTGAAATTGGAGCTGATGTTTCTTGGTGGGAATAGCCAGCTCTAGATTGTCACTCTTCTCTCATATTCTCTATCGCAGCCTTTCGGAACCAGCTGCAGGTACACCTGACGTTGATCCTGAGCCCGGTGCTGGGAGATCACGTGTATTCCCCTCGGGTGGGAACAGTTCTTGGAGAACCCTTTCTCTTGCCCGCTGAGCAGAGTCCGCCTCGGACACAGGTACCAAATTGCAAAATGGATGCTGGTCCTGGAGTTTGGGACACGTAGAGACGTTCTACGCAGGTAGTCCTCAGCATACCACCGTAATGGAGCCTGGCCCTTAACGGTGGTATGATGTGACGGTCATAAAATGGGTGAGTCATGTGACTGACCCAATTTTGTAGTGGTTGTTAAATGAATCCAAGGTCTTTAAGCGAACCAATGTTTTGCTACGGTTATAGTTTTGCCGAAAGCCAGACGTAAGTGCTGTTTTTTGACAAAGCCAACATGAAACAGTGTCACGTGACCGTGGGACATTGCAAACGCCATCATGGGATTGCATTTTGGTTGCTTGGCCACTGACTCACCTAATAGCCATTTTCCCCATCCCGCACTCACATAGCCACAATTTTTGATGTCTATAGAGATTCCCAATCATCCAGGTCATGGGTTGTCCCAAAGGTGCTTTTTCAAAAGGCAACTGGACTTTGTTTTTCCTTGAAGATGTTTTGCTTCTCATCCAAGAAGCTTCTTCAGTCCTGATTGACTGATTGAAATCCTTCCATCCTGCACCATTCAGTCAGAACCGAAGAAGCCTTAGTAAGACCACACCTAGAATAATACTGCATCCAGTTTTGGTCTCCACACTATAAAAAGATGTTGAGACTCTAGAAAGAGTGCAGAGAAGATTATTAGGGGACTGGAGGCTAAAACCTATGAACTAATGGAACAGCTTGCCTTCAGAAGTTGTGGGAGCTTCATCACTGGAGGCTTTCAAGAAGAGATTGGACTCCCATCTGTTAGAAATGGTATAGGGTCTCCTGCTTGGGTGGGTGGGGGGTTAGACTAGATGACCTGCAAGGTCCCTTCCAACTCTGTTATTCTATTCTATTCTATTCTATTCTATTCTATTCTATTCTATTCTATTCTATTCTAAGCTTCTTGGATGAGAAGCGAAACATCTTCAAAGAAAAACAGAGTCCAGTTGCCTATTAAAAAAGCACCTTTGAGACTGTTTCTCCAAAGTGACAAATTGCATTAACATTGGCTTCCATCCATAATCTGAAATTCTTTCGAGACTGTAACAAGATTTGGTCTGAACCTCAGTCTTGTTTTGTTTGTATATTTTGTGGCTATAAATAAAGTGATAAATACTGTTAAAGTTGCCTGTACTCTCAGAGGCCCAGTTGTGAGATATATGAGAAAGGAGCTTCTCCTTGGTCAGCTGCAGGCAACGGAGTGCCTTTTTTCCCAGAAATAAATTTATTTCTCCTTCCAGTTTCAATAAAGGAATTAAGCCTGTGCCTTCCAACCATGTCTTTTTTGAATTGCACCACTGATAAAGGTAATTGCATGTTAGCTGATAATAATGTAGACTGTTTACCTTTGAGTGCTGTATAGATAAAAGGCAGGAAATAATAAGAACTTTTATAACTTTAGAAGTTATGTTTGGGGAAGGGAGTAGCTTAATGGCAGAACACGGGATGCTTTTTATGGAGACGGGCCCAGCTTCTGTCCCTGGTTATTTGCTCAAACAGTTCAGATACAGTGGTTGATCAGAGTTGATTGGAGAGCAGCTGTCAGAGAAGCTGCCAAGTTAGTTGAAAAACAGGCTCACTCCTGTAGCTATAAGAGGCTTCCATTTTTTTCTTTTCCCATTTCATTTTTACATGCTTATAAGTTGGCATACTGTTTTCCTTTTATTAACTTGGCTGCTAAGATCACTCTAATATAATTACTAATATTTGAAGTGAGGATGCTTTCCAAGAACTGAAATATAGGTGATGTCCATATAGAGCTGATGATGAGGTATACAGAGGTCTCAGGATGCTGTTTCTCTAAATGTCTATGAAGAGTCTCGTAATACAATTTTTGATGTCTGCGGAGATTCCCAGTCACCCAGGTCACGGGTTGTCTCAAAGGTGCTTTTTCAAACGGCAACTGGACATTGTTTTTCCTTGAAGATGTTTCGCTTCTCATCCAAGAAGCTTTTTCAGTTCTGACTGAATGATTTAAATCAGGGGTGTCAAATTCAATTTCACTGAGGACCTCATCAGCATTGCGGTTGCCCTGGGGGGGGGACGGGTGGATGTGGCCAGAGTGGGTGCAGCCTACTGGGTGGGCGTGGATGGAGTGAGTGTGGCCTACTGGGTGGGCATGGCCAGCTCTACATCATTCGCGTCAAGGGTGCCTATGGGGGCCTGGGCAGGAGTGGGACAGATCTGAGGGTCTCTGGCAGAAGGGGGTGGGACCGGGGCACGTGTCAAGGCATGGTCCACTGGGGAAAGTGCCAAGATGGCCACCACAAAATTGTACATTGGCTCCCAACCAGCCTGGGCCAGGGCCAAGGCAGAGGGGGCCGTTACCTCACTGTTTCCAGGATGGCTTCGCAGGCCGCATGAAACCACTTCACGGGCCGCATCCGGGCCCCGGGCCTTGTGTTTGACATGTCTGATTTAAATCCTTCCATCCTGCATCATTCAGCCAGAACTGAAAAAGCTTCTTGGCTGAGAAGCGAAACGTCTTCAAGGAAAACCAAAGTCCAGTTGCCTTTTGAAAAAGCAAAACCTTTGGGACACAATTTTTGACATTTTTTAATTGGTTTAATTGGACAGAAGCATTCACTTCTGTTTTCTGGCAAAAAAAAAAAAAATGCCCATTGGGTAAAATACATTCACTTAAAATACATCACGTTCATTTAACAACCGCTGTAAAAAAAAAAGTCCTAAAATCAGGTCCAGTCTCATGGTGGCCCACTTAATAACCGCAGTGACTTACGACCGTTAATTCTGGGGTCAGTTACGGTCGCAGGTCGAGAACTACCTGTAAAAATAACGATTGTAAGTAGGGTTGACGGAGGAACTCTTTATGATGCCCTTCCTTCTCTTACTCTCCCAACCTCTTGATAGGCTCTAGAGGAACATGTGATGCAAAAGCTCCGGTTGCGGCAAGAAGTGATGTTTCGCTTGCAGCTTCACCTCCACCTTCACCAGCTTCTCCTGCCTGATGGTTGCTGTTCTTCCCGCACTCTCTTAGTGGCCCCCCCTCCTCCTTTCTTTCTCCAGACCCTTCGTAGTCTCAGACTTAACCTGCCCCCCTGAGAGAAGCACGCAGTGAAAGAGTATGCAAAGGACTGGTCTGAATTCATCCATTGCTGGCAGCCCAGTCAAGTGGATGCGGCTGCCTCAAAATCCAGCAGCAGAGCTCCCACACAAGGAAAAATTCCACACGGTTACGGAAGAAAACTTTGCTTCTTCAGGAAAAGGATTCAGATATATATTGCATTCCGTGAGAGTTGCTTGAATAGGCAGCATACAAATGATTGATAGTGGGGAAAAAAGCTTATCAAAAAGTGCGATAGGAAGGAGATTTCTAAGTAAAAACCTCTGTTGTAACTAGCTGGTATAATCTGGCTAAAAAAGTATTTTAAAGTGAACGTTTGTGAGTTAGTTTGCTTTTATTAAAAGCTGTTCCTGTACCCACAGAACTGATTTTTTTTTAACCATCGATCTTTATGCCTATACTAGCTGTACCCAGCCACGCGTTGCTGTGGCTCAGTCTGGTAAAAGCGTGTGTTGCTTTTACGTCCAACAGATGGTGCTGTTTTTCAAAAAAAGCATGTTTTCACCTGTCACAGGTGTGATATCTATATAATATAGGTATATAAAACCACGTGCGTATTCGAATGCAACGTTGTGTCAGAATTTCAAAGCAATCGGTGAAGAACTTTCGGAGATTTAAGTTTTTGAACAAACGAACATTTACATTTTTATTTATATAAGATGTGATAGTGTCACAGCAACCCAGGCCCTATTATTATTAGGATTTATGCATTCCTAATATCTAGATTACATACTGTTGTGTGAGGGTAATTGTACTTAAAGCGCCGTGGTGGCTCAGCAGTTAGAAGGCAGTAGTGCAGTACTGCTTACTGCTGGCTGCCAGCACTTCGGCAGTTCGAGTCTCACCGGCTCAAGGTTGACTCAGCCTTCCGTCCTTCTGAGGTCAGTAAAATGAGGACCCAGATTCTTGGGGGCAATATGCTAACTCTATAAACCGCTTAGATAGGGCTGTAAAGCACTGTGAAGCGGTATATAAGTCTAAGTGCTATTGCTATTAATATTTTCTCAATATTAAGAAGCAATAAGCAAATTATGTGTTATCTTAGGGCTGATGCTGCTAGGTCAGTGATGGCGAACCTTTTAGAGACCACGTGCCCAAAAACCGCCCCCGTCCCCACTCCTCCCTGCCCGCTGGGCCACCCACCACCTCCACAGCCACCACAGATCACCCAAGCGGCCCAGCAGCGCCATGGTAGCCACGCCCTCCGCCCGTGCCTTATAGCATCATCTCCGCGCGACGGTGCAAGGGCAGAGTCTTGTCCCCGCTACCCGGCTATCATGTCCTTGGCTGCGCTGCTTCGCGTGGGTCGCGCTTGGGGGTGACTCTCCTCCGGGGGGGCTGCTGGTGAGGAGGGGGTCATGGGAGGAGGCGGAGTTGGGGTGACGGCGTGCGTGCCCACAGAGAGGACTCTGAGTGCCGCCTCTGGCATGCCACCACTGTGCTAGGTGAATAGGAAGAAGCTGAGCCTCCAGCCAGAGAAAAATTAGGGGAATGTTCTTTTCCAACTATTTTTAGTTATCAAATGATTTACCATATTGAAAAATGCAAAGGGGAGCTCTGAATTTCAGAAGGATTTTGCCCATAAATTACTTCTTTGGTGCACAGTATATTAGGCAGTTGCTGCCGATTCCAGATAAATATTTATGCCTTGTTCTCAGTTGCATGGAGCTCAGAATTTTCATGTCGAAAAGTATCTAGTTCACTCTTAAATATTCTCAGAGTGACTTAGATCAAGCAACAGTAACTTTTTCAGCTGCTATTGTGCTGTATTGGTAGATTAAAAATAACAAAATTGAAAATAGTCTAATCTTACAAGATGTCAGCATTTCATAAAACATTTTAATTAATTTTCAAATTACTTCAGAGTTGTCCTGGTGACTAACATGTGCTCTGTTGATGTTGCTTGGATTAGATGTGATTACTAAGCGCAAAAGGTAAATATTAATCAAGCAATAGAGCGAGAGCAATAAAACACAGTTTATTTTTCCTAGGCTTTTAATTATTAAATTTCAACTAAAGATATACAGCAGGAGCTTCCCCTAACGTTCCTCATTTTTTTGCCTCTTTTATAATTTCTGGACACAGGCGTTTAGCAAGTTTGTAAGTTTTGCAGTTCTCATAAGTTGAAAGTAAGTAGACATATTCAAACACGTGGCTCCTATCCCTGGCAGCAAACTCTTTTTCATTATTATTCGGTGGGAAAGGTCTGTGTGATTTGGAAGTTTGCTTTCTGCTGACATGAAAATTTTCTCTCCCTGTTTTGTAAGGGAGAAACATGACTAATTTGGAAACCACTTGGTTGCCGTGTGGACTTTGGACACAGGCTGCTAGCAGGGCCAGTGGCTTCTCTTCCTTTACAAAAGCTTTCCTCTGCAAAAACAATTGGAATCTTTGGCTTCTAGTCGGTGAGAAAGCTTTTAAAGTGCGATAGCCAGTACCTGGATATTTTTCATAAGCATTGCCCATACCTGTACAAATCTTATCCCGGGCACCAACTTCTACCTTTTTTCTTCTGAAGTTCTGCTACAAGAAGGAATATAAGTTGTGTTCAGACGTGGACAAAAAGCAGCAAATTATATATTGTCTTAGACCAGGGGTAGGCAACCTTGGCTCTTTTATGACTCGTGGACTTCAACTCCCAGAATTCCTGAGCCAGCATGGCTCAGCTTGGAAACCTCTCCCTTTCCCCTCAGGATGGCTGGCTCAGGAATTCTGGGAGTTGAAGTCCACAAGTCATAAAAGAGCCAAGGTTGCCAACCCTGAGACAGTGGTTGGATTCAGCCAGTTTGCACCAGTTCGGCAGAACCAGTAGCTAATTTTTTGTTGCCCAGACCCAGAATGGACTTCTGGAAGCGGCATCCACACAGAGAAGCGGTTGTTCACATATTTGAATCCCACCACTGGTGTTAGGCCTGATGCAACCAAGAAAGTGGACAAGGGCACTTTTTTTTTTTTGCTCATTGATGATGATAACCCATACTGGGAGAGCTTTGGAGCCGTTTCCCCAGTGAAAGGGAGCATTAGGATCATAGCTACTGTATTTATCTGACAGTAACATGAAGAAATGCAATACATCTGCAGATTCTTCTCCGCACCCAGGTATCCACTATAAAAAGTACAACCTAGAATTTATTTTGATTAAAAAAAAATCACCTATTCCAGTTGTACGTGCAGATGGTCTTCAGATACACTAGACTTGAGAGAATAAAGAGGAACTGAAATTTATCCTTGCATATAGTGTTTGCAACATCTGGAAAAAAATTTATATCAAGTATATGCAACTTTTGTTAGGCCGAAGATCTAAAATACTTGATCTTAGAGTCCCATAGACATTCTTGGATAAACGAAGAATTGGGGGAGCCAAAATACAGTTCCAAAATTTGGTTGGGTTCTGCAAGTATATGTGGGAATATTATTTTCAAAGTACCCTTATATTCCATACTAGCTGTACCTGGCCATACGTTGCTGTGGCTCAGTCTGGTTAAATTTACGTCCAGCAGATGGCGCTATTTTTTTTAAAAAAGCATGTTTTTACCTGTCACAGGTGTGACATCTAGGTATATAAAAACACGCGCGTATTCAAATGCAACGTTGTGTCAAAATTTCAAAGCAATCGGTGAAGAACTTTCGGAGATTTAAGATTTTGAATAAACGAACATTTACATTTTTATTTATATAGATATACCAATGTAGGAGCCCAATTGCAGATATGTCAGCCCTTGAATTTTTAACCAAAACACCATAAAATATATCACATGCAGATACGCCAATTATGAAAATTAAGATGTACAAAAATTTTAAGGGTCAGCTTATCTGCAGTATGGCTTACACGTGAGCACGTACAGTAATGTGACGACTGCAATCCAGAAAGTGGCTTAAATTATGAATTAGAATGTATATAATGTCTATAAATGTATTGGCTTAATGTTGGAATCCAGTAACATCCAGAAGACCACAGCTTCCCCATCTCTTATTTTGCATAAATCTGGATGTTTGAGGAAGCAGTTCTGCTAGTTGTAAGAGTAGTTCTGTAAAGAATCGTGGACTAAAAATTATTAATCTAAAATTTTCTAGTGTTTAGGCCAGTGGTTCTCAACCTGTGGGTCGGGACCCCATTTGGGGTCGATCGACCATTTCACGGGGGTCGCCAAGCAAGGCTGTCCACCATTTTTTTTGTCCATTTTTTTTGTCCGCCATTTTTTCCCCTTTTCCGGCGGGTGCCTTACCTCCCTTGGGCTGGGCCAGCTGGTGGTCGGCCTGCTCCATCTCTGCCGCTTGCCAGCTACGCCTCGGCCGGCACAGGTGGCAGAACCACACATGCGCGGCGCTCCCGGGCAGGGAAAGTCCTCGACTTACGACCGGTTTAGTCCTCGACTTATGACCGGTTTAGTCCTCAACTTACGATCGGTTTAGTCCTCGACTTACGACCAGTTGGGGTCGCCGCATTAAAAAGGTTGAGAACCACTGGTTTAGGCAGTGTTTCTCAACCTTAGCAAGTTTAAGATTTGTGGACTTCAACTCCCAGAATTCTGGGTGTCAAAGTCCACACATCTTAAAACTTGCTACGGTTGAGAATCATTGTTCTAAGGAAATTTCTATATGTAGAACATAGACAGCTCTATCTCACACATACTGTAGTAAGAACTGCTAATGGAGAAAACATTACTAATGCTTGCTTCAGTTTCTGTTACTTCATATATAGATGATTATCCCATTTTCTCCTTTTTGATAGCACTGAAAAGGGTTTTGACTTGTTGGCTTTAAACATTAAAACTGTTCTCCAAGGATTAGACTAGTGTAGATTACAAAAGTGAAATTTATTGTTTTACAAAGAATTTACAAACCACGCTGTTACAAGACCTAAATGTAAATATGTTAAAAGTAAAATAGGATATACTGTACTTGACTACCTAAAATACATACTTTATGGATTGTAATAAAATTTATAAATATATAAAATTTTTGGACTGCATTCTTTCCCATCTTAAGAAAAAATATGCATACTTATAAAAATTTGAAACACTGAAATTTAGCAGAGTTGGGGAAGAGAGGAATTGCCCACTGTATGACACGGGTTCCTTTTGTGCATGGTGCCAGGGCCAGTAGGAAATATATGGAATAATATTTATATGGAAATAGCATGCTAGAATATGTGGGAACTTCACACTCATTTGTTTAAGAAGCAGTCTTGTGCCAGAGTAAATTAGTCTATCTGATTTAGTAATCTCTAACCCTGGATCTTAAGCTGATGAGAGATACAGTCCTACAGTGCTTGGAAACCTAAGCTTAGGAATCACCAAAGCCATGATTAAACATTGTGGCTGTTAATATCTCACCAAGATCACAAGCAAAAGACTATAC